GTATGAGTAGGTTTACGGTACACACAGTGTGACAAGGACCCATCCGATCTCACGGCTACTTTAACATCTAAGAATTACAACGACCTGTCCGTCTCCATTTCATATGTAAACCTCATTTTGGGGTGAATAGAGTTAAGATGTTGTATATATTGATCCACTTCTTGTTTGTTTCCTTTGACGATACTGAAAATGTCATCCACGTATCGCTTCCATAGCTTAACGGTATTCGGGCCGAGATTTAAAGCCTTCTCTTCAAAATGTTCCATCCAGATGTTGGCCAGTACTGGGGCTACAGGACTTCCCATCGCGACATCATCAATCTGGAGGTAATGTTGACCTTGGAAAAGGAAATAGTTGCCATCTAAACAGTGTTCAAGTAGATCAATATAGTTTAACGGCAGCTCGCTGTCTCTCAGTAGGTCTTTTACGACGTTTAGGCACTCCTTTATTGGAACATTGGTGAAAAGCGACTCCACGTCAAAGCTCACCATGACGTCATCCGGTTCCAACGTCAGATCTTTTATGATTTGTATGAAAAACAGAGCTTACGATCTCTGTGACCCTGAACATTTAGAACAGGAGCTAAAACATGTTCAGGAGGTACTCAAAGGTAACGGATATCAAGTGAAAGGAGGACGGAAGCAACCGAAAATAAGACGCAAGTATCCAGAAGTGAACAGGCAACCGGCCTATATGCCTTATGTCAAGGGAGTTACGGACAAGATCGGGTCTGTACTAAAGAAATATTCCATTCCGACAGTATACACACCAGGCATAAAGGTTCACAACATCGTCGGCACACCGAAGGATATATTGCCACTACAAACTCCGGGTGTTTATAAAATAGACTGCAGCTGCGGAAGCTCATACATAGGCCAAACTAAGCGGACTATTGCAGAAAGGGTCAAAGAGCATATCGCTGCTGTGAAGAACCGACAGACGAGCAAATCAGCGATTGCAGAACATGCACTCGATGCAGGCATCAACCACTGGATTGAATTTCACCGCACGCAAGTCCTCTCCACCGAACGTCACTTTTACTCAAGAGTTGTACGTGAAGCGATTGAGATTAAAAAGCATAAAACTTTCAATCGGGAAGATGGTTTTAAATTATCTACAGCGTGGAATCCAGTGTTAAAAAACATACCACCTCGCTTTTCTGCGCAATCGGTTAAACACCAGAATAGGGACTCATCGGTTTGCTTACAGAATAGGGACATTGTTAGTGTGGTATGTGACGGTACATGGCGACACAAAAACAATATCGAAAATGTGCGGGTAGATGAAGAGCCTTCTACTTCACGGATTCGACGACGGAGGGCGTGCGCCGATGAGCCAGTCAGCCTGTGACCACGGCCGGTGCAACCTGGTCGAAACGTCAGGCAAACCAGAGGTATGTAATACCCTAAATAAGACATCGCGTTAATTCCCGTTAAATAATATTAATTATCATGGAACGCGAAAGTTTAAAAGTTAGTAAGGACCAATAATTTAGCATTTATCTATCCAAACCAAATTATATCATAAGATATAATTAAAGGCTAACAGCTTATTAAATCACCTATATTGTGTGAAGGTAAGAGGAAAACTAATATTTGAAAGAACATGTATAAAGATCGACGGACTTTAAGCTTCGATGATTCACACATAATCAAAATCTAATTTTGTGAAGGCTGTTTAATTGCACGACGATGCCAAAAATTGATATTACGAGGTCCTTTCTTGCTCCTATTTTCAATTTGTTGATATTTTATGTAGAACAATTATATGGCTTTGTTTGTACTCCCACTTTGTATATGACTAATGGATGTAAATTATGTTCTGTTCTAGTAAATTTCATAAAAAACTGATGCAATAGCATCTATAAACAGATGATGACTAGTGTTCATTTAGGTATATATTTTTATCAGTGAGTTTAAAACGCCTACATTATGATACATTAGGCTGTATTTTTTTATTCCTTAATCTTTCATACAACGAGAAAAAATATCTCAATAAAAAATATGTTTTCTAAATTAAAGGGGGCAAAAATGGGTACGATTTTTTGAAGTAACTTATTTACGCACGCTTAGGGAGTAAGCTGGTGGAACAGAAGTTGAGAGGTATATATAAGTTAGTGAAGATAGAAAAAGAGAGAGTTACGTTTCTGTAGGGGCAAGAGAGAGAAGTGCGAGCACACATTTTCTTTCTCTCTTTCTCTCATAGCCAAGAAGTTTTACTTCAGACGTGTGGTCTAACGAACACTTGTTTTTTTTCTATAAAGTTATACACAAAAATATGAGCACAATCAACATTATTCATAATTTCTCTGCATTAAACTTGAGTCACCCAGTATCAAATTCCACATTATTCACCTACTAAAATAACTAAACAAATGATCACGCATTTTCTCCCAGTCCACCTTAAAGGTGGTGTGGAATATTGTATGTAAGTCTCAATAAAGCTGTAATTAATTAAAAAATTGAAACTGAGTTATGATATTTGTTTGCTAGTTATGTAATTATAATGCAATTATATATATACCTCACATCAACAGCCTTTAACAGTCCACTGCTGGACACAAGCCTCTCCTTAGAAAGGAGGTTTTGGCCTACTATGCCACGCTGGCCAGACGGGTTGGTACAGGGTTTGTTTCAAGTTGTCCTTCTCTCTGCAGTGCTCAAGTTTCAGCATTTGTTGATAAATTACACCTGCTTCGGAAAATAGCCGCTCACCGTATACCCTGCTTCCGGGAGATGATAAAGAAAGCTTAAGGAGGGTTTGCTAATCATTTTACTGATTCAGGTTTTAACTAGCAAAAGGTACTGAGGAAAGTGTAACCGAATATTCGGCGCTTCGACCAAGACACTCGCCGCATATTTGTTATTCGACCAAATCACTATTCGTGGCATCTCTGCGGGTTGTATATGTCTAGGGGTTCCCACATCAAAAAATGCTTGTTAAAGATGTACATTCATAATATTAATTTGTTTTTAACTGGTGTTGTCATTGCTTGAACATAATCTGCACTATTGCGATTAAACTTCACGAAATATTTAATCGGTTTGCACAATCGCAAAGTTGAACTCGAAGTCTTTCGACACATACAAGTTACAAAATGTTTAAACTAAAACACGCATTCGATGATTGTAAAATATCATTTGAAATGTAACAACAAGTGATTACGATCGAATAGCAGAATAGGGCCTAATTCATTCATGATCATAATTTTGCTTACTGAAATAAAAAACAATTCGAGTCCGCGTGATGACGGATTAAGAATACGGAACGTCACCACCCCTATTCATCCCGTGGATGTCGTAAGAGCCTAACGGAGCAAACTACACAGAAATAAACTGATCGCAAGATCAGTTTATTTCTGATGGGCCTGTTGGTCTAGTGGTTATTGACGCGAACTCCTATGCCAGAGAATCGCGCCCAGGACAGCAGCATTGGTTCTGTGTCTGGGTGTAATTTATCAATATGTGTACACTGAATTTAAGTTTGTTTATCAATAGGCATGTAAAAAAGACGAGATATTTCCTACTGGTTGAGTGACCGAGACAATTTTATACTAAATGTCAAAAGTCACCCTTTTCCTCAGTCGGTGATGACGTAGCAGTGTTCTTGTTTGTCAACTTAAAACACCGTGTAAATGAAAAATAAAATTGAAGCACGTAATCAAATAAACTGTGGTGTGTAAAGTGCTAGCTCATACGTATTTTTTAACAAGTTAGTTTTTGTTACTTAGTAAAAGAACTGTCTCAGCTAAATATTTTTGATAAAAGTACTTTTATAGCTAACTATAATCAGGATTAAACACCAAAGAAAAGAGTGGGTTGATACGATAGCGTAATATAGAAAATCCTGGAAGTAATAAATTTAGTAAAATTCTTTATTTTAAATACAGAAAGATAAGCACTGAGACTAAAAAGGCTGACAGAATAACAATAGATATTATGTAAATTAAAAAGAAACGCTGTACCCTTACAAAAAAGAAAGCATTTTATGAAGAAATGATTTTAAATATTTAATTTACTAGGCAACCTTTTTTACTTTTCAGTTTAAGTGCACAAAAACTGTATACATATGTCACCGGAAAATAACAAGAACCGCAAACCTTCGTAGGATTCTAAGCGAGAGAAGAAAACCTAACCTAATCTAATCTAACCGGGTTGGGGTGTTATGAGCGAGCCGACCAGCTCGCCAAGGAGGCGGCTCTGGACCTGAAGAAAGCACCGGACTAGAGTTCGCTAAGTTTATCAATTTGCGAAAATGTGGGCGTAAAATAATACAATTTAAATCTCGCTTAGAATCCTACAAAATTTTATAAATTCCCTAGGAAGTTTATACATTTGCTGTTCTTGCTTTTTTTCCGGTGATATATATATAACACGTCATGCACATTGTCAAAAACGAAACAACAAACACAATAATTGTATTAGAAAACCCTGAATGTCTCTTAAAGAAAAATCGATACCATATTTGCAGTGAATGGCAATTTAGGATTAAGTATAATGTGCATATTATACTTAATCCTAAATTGTTATATTGTTCACTAGATGGGATGATGACATTAAAAAAATAGCTGGTCCACAATGGCAACAAATAGCCCAAGACCGAGAGAAATGGCAAGCTTTGGAGGAGGCCTTTACCTGAGGGGGGTTCCAGTGGAAAAAAACTTAATACTAGTGCCTACCTACTTAAAACTGATTTCTATATTCATAATAATTAGATATGTATATACTTGAAAATTTAGACTACATAGATATAAATCTCTTTATTTTCTTGCTAACTATGTATAAAGGTAGAAACAATATTGCATGTGCTAGTTTGCAAACTGGAAATAAAAGGCTTTTTTATTTTTATTTATTTTTATAATGTGCATATATAGCGGTGTTGGACTCTCATAGAATGTTTTGTGAGTTGAAGGTAGGACCGCAGTGTACAGATAGCTCCCTTGTGTCAGAAGTGGCCGCGAGTGTTTACAGTGCGGGTTAGACATCAGACACTGAGTGAACATGTGGTCGATAGTATTGCTGGCCGTGGCAGCTGCGGCGCGGGATGTTACCGGTAAACAATAAATAATGTTCTATTTAAAATATATATATATATATTGTTTTTTTTTTGTTTGGACGGTGTTTTAAAATATATTTTTTAATTATTGAGCCTGACCAGACAAATAACTTTTCTTGTTTGTCACCTTTTCTGGTTTGTTTGTACAAGTATGATAACAAATAGTTTAGTGTTTTTGAAATGATTGCGAAAGTTCTATACTGTTTATGGTTTTTTTTTTCTAAATTGTACGCGTGTTAGTATATATCCCGGCTTAATCAAGAGACTCGCAACCCGATCGAAACTTCGGGATGAAAATAAATTGTGATCGTATTTTATAAATATTATGATGAGTGAGATTTAGAGTTTTATTCGTTTGAGATGGTTTTTTTACGAGTTTATATAAACTAAAATAGTTTGACTCCAGTAATAGTCTAACAAAATAACTATACAGTATAAAGTGTCATTAACTATATAAATTAGGAATACTAGAAAGAAAATAATTACCTCGACTCAAATCAAATATATAATAAAATAATCATATAAAAAAATTGCTTAAGGGGTTTGAACCCAAACCTCTCGACGCATTGTAGCGACTTAAACCATTCCGCATTTGTGTAGTTCATTTAAAAATATTCTTGCGTTGGTTACTAACGAGTAAACTTTTTGAAATATAATAATATATATATGAGTGAAAATGAAACTTTTTTTTAATTTATACTTCCTGCAAATAGGGGGACTTAATGCCATAGGCATTTTATTCCAGTCATCCTTTGGGTGATGCAGAGATGTGTGTGTGGCTGGTGTTTAACTATAGATAAATTATTTCTAAATGTTGTCAGTTGTAAGACAGGGGCGTGCGCTCCTTGTAGGTGTAAATGCAGTGCTTTACTTGCTATTCCCAGACATTTTAATAAAACGTTCGTAAGTTATAGATGACTTTAATTAATAGTAAATAAATGAATAAACGAAATATAATAACTTAAAACGGCTGTGTGGTTGTGTACACACGATTAAATTTTATTGTTTTCCTACTCCGCCGCATACCTAGTGTCATAATCCTGGGCACGCCGCTGTTGTAAGATGTTATACTAAATAGATATACTGGGTATACATTTATATAATTCTTCTTAAAATATTCTTATTTCTATGTTATTTACTCGTACAAGTACTGCAAATCAGCTTTTTTATTTAATTGATTAGTATTATTTGAACTATCATTGCATAGGCAATTGAACCGTAACAGGTCAACATATTTTATTTTTATTTTAAGCCTTGTTTATTCCTTAATAAAATGCAATTACCATAAAATATATATACCTATCTACAATTACATTTACAATATTTGATTTCCATTCAATTGAATTCTTCACTTGAGTATAAATAAGATATAAAAAAAACAATATGAAAACGCTTTTTACATTTAAATTAACATTCATATATGAGTATTATTTATTGTTATTGTTATTTTAAACCGGTTATTTCGTATTTAATTTCATAAATGTGTTGCATTGTCTATTATTATTATTATCCTTCTTTTTGTCAGTCATTGATAGTATTAAGGCCCTCCCTCCTGAGTAAAGGCCTCCTCCATTTTCCCCCACTTGTCTCTGTCCATTGCCTTTTCCGTCCAGAGGACAACATACGAGTATATCGGCTCCTATTATTTTATGTCAAGATTTTAACATTATATGAAATGTATTGTTTCAAAATGTTTATTTTGTGTAAATTTTCTATATTTTAACTTTAAATTTTACAAGTGTGATATGTTTTCGTGTAACCTATTTGCTTAAAAAAGGATGCAGAGTATAATAATATTATAAAATATAAAGAGAGAACTATGAAGATTTTTTTTATAGTAAATGCCGTTTGCCTAAGGAGTATAAACAAATTAGATCCTTGTTCATTTTTTTAAAATTATTATTTATTGACATGTTATATTGTTATGATAATCTGCATTTTCTAGTTTTGTACAGAGGAACAAATTTGAAACCCTGAGATTGGCTTAATATCAATGAAATTCATATTATTTTTGTTCACAAATTGTTGTTCTGAGTCTGGGTGTTCTTTGTGTCCGTTTCATGTATGTTTGTAAAGTACCCCGCGACACAGGATGTATTCCTAATGCGGGAGTTGTCGTTTTAAAGAAAAAAAAAAGATAATGTGAATAAAGCTGTTGAGTTTTCTACTAATTAAAAACTAAAGCTGCAATTGGCGGTCCTGCACATGATAGTATTAAAAAAATAGGGCGTGAGGGATCTATGGACCCCTGGTCGTAACGAAGTTCCTATCGCTTTTTGGTAGACATTTGCAATACAGTTATTATAATTTATCTAAAAAAATATCAAGTAAATAGAGTAAAATTGAAAAAAATATGATAAATAATAATAAATATATTTTATGTTTTAATTAAGTAGCGCACCGAAGAGCTTTTTGCGCCTATGTATATAGTTCATACACGGCTGTAACCTTAGCAATAAGTGTCGGAAAAAGTCTTGTTACACATTTTTCGGTCTCCCTCTCATTCACTCAGAACGTGTAACTTCGTTCCAAAAACAACTTTACACATCTGATACACGGCCGTCCGGTCCTAAACTAGGCAGAGCCTACACTATTAGTAACTAGACTAGACTGCTGATAAACATACTTAAATATTATTAAATACATATATGAGAGATAAATTACACCCAGACACAGAACAAATGACGCAATTATTTGTCTTGACTGGGAATCGAACCCCCAACCAGGGTCACTAACAACTGGACCATCTGGAAAGTCAATAACACAGTCAATAAAACAGACAAAGTATTATTTAAGAGGAAACTTAAAAGGTATTTTTGTGGTAATAGGCTACTATTGTGTATACCTACCTATAATAGTTTTGAAATGACTTATATAAGAAAAATGTACGGAGACACGATCCTTCAGTCAAACCATTAACATGGTTTTGGCGGACATAGATTGTAATGTCATGAAAGTTAAAGTTAAATAAGTAGTAGGTTGGTAAAAAGATACAAAAGACAGTTTTGTTTTAATGTCAGCTTGCCAATTTCATATTGTCTTATATTGTTATGTGGGTGAATGCTCCACTTACTTAGGTTAGGGAAAAATACTGTTCAAGGTCTACCTTACGCAGAACACAAAGATCGGTGACGTTAGCAGTAAATACTTTAACGATTTAATAATTGTATTGTTGAATAATGTAAAGTTTAATTAATAAGTGCCTATAATTACTAAAGAAGAAATGGTTTCTGGTAAATAACAGTGTACTAAAGCAATCGTCACCAAATTAACTTCGAAAATGGGAAATTAACAAAGGATGTATAGTGAACGATATAAGGTCTTTTTTATGGAATTGGGGGCTCACGACTGATGGAAAGCGACCACCGCCGCCCATGAACGCCTGCAATTCAGTAGTCGCAAGCCCGTTGCATTTTATTTTAAAGTTTTATTATATATTTAATTAACACTCTGTGTTCAATTCAATGCGTAAATATCAGCGTAAAAAAGACATTTCTTCAGTTTTAGGATTCCGTTGAAATGAGTGCTAGACTGTAATGTCTTGGCTGCTTCGGACCTTATTTTATTTATTTGCGATAACAAACAGTAGTACAATATTCAATAATAGTAAATATTATTATTAGGTACAAATGTGCTAATTGTACTACCAACAGCATTATCCACTTGTTACTATACACAAAGTTATAGTAAAATGGTGCATGCTACGTGATTAAAATAATAATGATCAACAGCCTTTACTAGTCCACTGCTGTACATAAGCATCTCCTTAGGAAGAAGGCTTTGGCCTACTATACCACGCTGGCCAGACGGGTTGGTATAGGGTTTGTTTCAAGTTTTCCTTCTCTCTGCAGTGCTGTTGTCCTGCGTAGTTTGCTAACTTAGTCGCCTCTTACGACACCCACGGGATGAATAGGGACGGTGACATTCCGTATTCTTAATCCGTCACCACACGGACTAGGACGGAAAATAATAATAATCAAATAATTTGATGACTGCACGGATGGCGCAGTGGTTTAAGCGGTCGCCACGCCGCTTCCTACTGCGCCGAGTGTTGTGGGTTCAAACCCTACATGGGACGACACTTTGTGTGATCCACAAATTGTTGTTCTGAGTCTGGGTGTTCTTTGTGTTCGTTTCATGTATGTTTGTAAAGTCCCCCGCGACACAAGAAATATTCCTAATGCGTGAGTGGTCTTTTAAAAAAAAAAAGAAAAAAAAGAATTTGTTACAGATATACCTAAATTATTAATTTTATTTGATATTAACCATAAAAATGTAGACATACGATATATGTCTCAATTACACATAAAATAATATATCTTTATGGAAATTTGGAAAACGACCTGGAAGCAGTCATATCATTTAAGGATTCCATTACAATTTTTTATATATTTGATTGCTAAATGCATGAAGATATCCGTACTGTTAAAATAGGTATTGTAATTGTGTACAAGCCATTGTAGAGGTGTTCTTAAGCCTTTTTTTTTTTTTTTCCGTGCCGAAATCCCCTCGGATACCACCTATCGGTGGCATGTCGGACTCAAACCGACTAAAACCGCACGCCGTCTCGGGTACTAATAGCCGGGGAACCAGGCCATGCCAGAACATGATAAGGCGTACCTTAGGTAACTTAATAAATTGAATTTAACCCTTCCAAAGAAATAATGAGTAAATTATTTATCTCATTTGGGATGGCTCAAATGTTACTGTTGTAGAATATATTGTATGTATGGATTTTTAAACTCTCAATCTCTTTTCTTCACTATGTTTGTATCTTCTGTTTTACGAGTATTTTAACAACATTCGGTAGTTGACTGGGAGAGGGCATTAAATCCATCAAATACTACCAGCGCATAAAGTTTTAAAATAAATAAATAATTGAGGTTCTGTTAGCAAAAGCCTGCGTTTAATGTATTAATACTTAATTTTGCCAACTATTATTTAGTGTCTATTGCGCCCAACGGGGCACACTGGAAGTAAAAGATGGGAAAATTGGG